CTTGAGCGTAAGAACTTGCCACTTTTCTTGCATCCATCGGCTGCAAGAGATGAGAATCAGCCCTGAACACACCCATTATCCAATCTTGACTGACAAATGAACTTGAACAAAGCTGTTAAAAGATAAAGCTTTTTACTTTACCACTATAGGATTTAAATACAAAATCCTATAGATTCGTTCCACTCGTGAAGCAGAGTCCTAGCCATATGAATCACTGAAAACTCGTCAGCTTTATCAATTCTGTATATCTCACTCTCATAGTCTTCAGGAGGAGGAATCAGGGAAGTCGGTTGAGTTGAATTCTTCTGTGGGTCAATATCGACCAATTCTGAAACTAATGGAACCTATGGATTATGTGTTGACAATGTCTCTGAAGGAGATGAGTATAGCATGATCCTGATCATCCTTAAACTTTTTTCTTTTAGTTTTTAATCTAAAGTTTGATTAAGTCTAGAAGTCAGTATACTCAAAGCACTGAAAGTTCAGTCTGTGCTCCAACCACGCATAATTTCGATTTTTTTTCGGTCAAGCTACAAAAAGCTTCGTCAAAGTTTAGTCTAATCATAAACAGCAGTGCTCTTCGCAGTTACTCGCAGCTAAATAGAACGCATGGACTTGGCCTTGGAATTATGTAACTTCATTTCTTTCATCATCAAATGTAGCTCAAAACTTCATGTTCACGTATCCTAGTTAAGACTGATATAAACTGATTTACTGTTGACTTGAGCGTCACATTTTTCACACAGGCCTAGAAAATAATCAACCTCATTTCAACAGATTAAAGATAGTTTGAATTTCGAGTCAGCATGTATAATTAAACGGATGCCTTGATGAACTTGTAAACCGGATCTTGCTGCTTTGTCATTTGGGCATTTTTCATTTATTTTACAATCATCATGAGGACTCCTGAACGTCTAGAATCGAGATTATAACAAAACAATACCCAGGCGACATTACACTAAATGAAACCGCCGCTTAATACTCATTAGTAGTTGAATCTGTGACAACGAGAAAGACGGAGCTTGTCTCATATGATTGAAATAGTTCAATTGTCTTTCACTTTCGCAAGCTTTCTCATTTTGTCGCCTTGATAGGAAGTTTCTTAAATGAGTCGAGATTTTATGAAATTCTCTTCCTTTATTATTTCAAAATATTTGCTCAAATAAACTTTCAGTGACGCTTCTCTATTGAAAACAACTGCTTCCAACGATTTGTACATTAGTTGTTAAGATGATGTTGTCAGCTATGTATTTTTATACAGTAGAGCAGAAAGAACAACGTTAGCGGCAGAACTGACATCACATTTTTCTTTTCTTTTTTTTTAGTCATACTTTTAATAGTGATATGGAAAACCAAGACGATAATAGTGTAAGTACTCGGATAGGTTGAACACTTCTCCGCATTACTATTACAAGTATGACTGAAGGAAAAGAAAAATGAGAAGTCAATTCTGCCGCTAATGTCGCTCATTCTGCTCTACATTATAAAATACGTAGCTGGCAATACCATGTCTTAACAAATAGTGTACGATTCATTGGAAGTAGATTTTTTCAACAACAAAACGTCACTCTCTAAGTCTATTTGAGCAAATGTTTTGAAATAATAAAGGAAGAGAATTTCACACAGTGTTGGATCATTTTTCTAGTTTTCTACCTCCTAGATTTTGCGACATATTCAAGAATGCTTCCACATGTTAACATCGTGTCTCTAGAAGACGATGACAAAGAAAGAGATTCGTAAGGTCTCATTTCCAACTGAAAAATTTTCAATGTTTGCAGAACATTACAGCTTGTGCTCAGACATGTATTCATCTTTTTTTGGTTTGCGATGTGTTGTTGCATATCCAAATGTAGTACCAGCTACCTTGCTTGTAAAGAACCTTGTAGAGATCGCTTGATCAATGAACCAGATTCATTAAATATTAGAGCGGAATGAACATGCAAACATATCGGTACTGTATATGTAACTGATAATTCTCATCATGATTTAACCCTATTGCGATTCAATTTCAGTCTCACTTGCATCTATGGACAAAGCTCACCTAACACGTTGTATTTTGAACTTAAGTCAAGCTTCCGCTATGATAAGTTCCACTAATGCTCTGATGATTAAAAGAAATAATGGATACCTGGTGGTAGCGCGGCTTTGCTTGAATGAATTTTAACATTGGAATAGACATGGTTGAACATGGACATTGAAGTGTGTTAGGATGTTGCAGCAGTAGAGACTCGAACATAGAATAAGAAGAAACTTTTATAGTCACCATCGTTGTCTGTTCTTCAAAACTCGTGTAAATAAGCCGAATGAATATACTTGCACTGAATAGAACGACATAAATCCATGATGAGCATCGCTCGATTTGAATAGACTCTTCGTCGCTAGATCCACTGTCGAAAATATTTACACGAAAGAACCAGTGCTTAATATGAGTTTGTAACGTCAACATCACAGCTAGGTTTTCAATTTACTTAGTAGATAACGCAGGAAATTCTGGCAAAAGGACGGCATCCATCTGTTATAAGACAAGTAATAACGATTCTTTTTCTTTTTAACATTTTCTTAATACGAGCAATATTTTTTTAAATTGAAGAAAGAGCTTCTGGGGTACAAACTAAGTTTAATTCTGATGATTGCATAGTCAATGATATAGTTGTGTGGTGTTTTTCAAGGCTCACAACAACTGTTTTTAGTAGCAAGTTAAAGGGCTTATCATGAATTTGGATTTTGGCTGTTGTCCTATTGGTCTTGTTCAAGCATGTCCTACTTTGAGAGCATTGTTTTCTTGACCAAAATCGCACCAAATCAGATAGAGTTGTCCATTACTGAATTTGTCGTTGTCGACAACGATGAAAAACGTTCTTGCACACGAGTATTAGTCGCCATACCATCTGTTCATCATCAATATTGCTCATCGTTGCAAGAAACTATTTGCTTACAGGCTTATAAATTTTTTTCTACTAAAGAATGCATAATGTAACATACGTTGAGTGTATGAATGCAAATAGAAGACGCTTCTATTTCAGTCGAGAACTTTCTAGGAATGATTAACGTCAGCGTCAATGACTCAAATTGTTCTGCCACGCACTAGTGGCATGACATAGTTGCTCGATGTAATGCTTTTCTTTTCTTATATCATGCGTGAATAACACCTTCCGTATTTCTTTGAGTGGTTTCTGTACGTTTCCTTAGTGGTATATTCCATTCTGGTTGTTTATCCTCTATGGATTTCTCCTTTTTGATGATCATCATTCTTGGAAGTTCTCTTCGTAAAAAATTCTTTACTTAATTTCGATTAATTATCAACGAAGAGACATGCCCTGCAAAGCAATCAACGCGGGTGTGGGTGGGTATGTGTAGTTTTAACGATATAAATATTCACACCCGCACCCACATCTACATCCTCAATTCGAAAACATTCAAAACTTTCCATGTCCAGCTGAATGAACCTAATTATTAACATACAAATAAATAAAATCGTAGAATTATATTTGCTTCATTTCTTTTCTACTCATATGATCGAAACCTACTAGCATGTAGGGCAACAAATGATCGAGAAAAACTTGGACTACGCGTCTCTATATTTTAGTTAGACGAGTCGATAATGGTATTGTATGAAAAGTATGTACCAACTTTGTTTCTCAGCCTGCAGCCATGTTTTGATTGAATAAGAAAATTGGCACCTTCTGTCTCTGCAGGTTTACACTGGACTCGATTATTGCATTGATCAGAGTTCAAATTCTACCGCGTCTGGTCCACCGAATAGCAGATCATCAGAAAAGTCTGCTTGATTAGCTGTAGTTTTTTCATAACACTCAAATAAATTGATGATCGCTAACTCATAATCAGAAGATTTTTTGTTTAAACGAGTTTAATTGGTGTTTTTGATGCATCGGGCGAAGGAAGTTATGTTACATACTTCTCTAGATAGTGACATGATGATAGTAGCGTTTATATGTTTTAATTATTGGTAGTTTTGGCATGAATATGAAAGTAATGGGAAGCTGTCGCAAAACAGGAGTTGGATAGAAGCAGGTAATCCATCATAGATCCACGGTAGACACATTTCCTACTTTTATTAACATACTGTGGTACAAATAATTATGTTGATCGAATTGATCTTGAAAACTGCTTTCTTTGACTAATCACACTTTATGCATGATTCATTTTAAAACATGTTTCATGCATACTCTTAATGGTTGACATAATCGATTGCCAGAATCAACGGCGAAGAATCGCATCATTTCAATTGCAAAGGTATGGTGCAATCATGACTGCCTTTTTTCGTTCTTCTTTCACGACTTGGCGTCAGAATGATTCAGGCAAGTCGACGTCACTTACTCATGTTTTTTTCGCACAGAAGAAAAGAGAAAAACGCACACTGTAGGTTTATATATGCTTAGCGTCAATAGCGAAACACTGGTTATACAAACGATTTTTTCATTGATAATTAAAAGCAAACGATGCTGAATCAAAGTCAAGCCGATGGCAAACATGTCATGCTTTCCTACCATTGGGATGATCAAACTTTAGTGTCCAGGGTATATGAATATCTTACGTTACATAATATCCCCGTGTGGATGGATATCAAAGGAGGAATGAAAACCAACCTGTACGATAGGTAATCTTTTTCCAAAAGAGACCATAAGAAAATTTTAAAAGTCGCTTATTTGCTCATTTTTACTTACTCTATTGCACTGGCCATTTACAAAATTCAATAATAGTTTCTCTTCATTTTCTTTCTCTATTGATTCGTGCTTTATTCGAAAAAATAAAATATGATAAACCCGCAAGAGAACTTAAATAGTGTTTTGTATTATGATTTTCTTTCGATTAGATTTATCTTGCTCTGGCTAGTACAAATAATTATTTTACTTCGTTTTTGAACAGTTTCCTATATCTTGAGTGATGATAAACTATACACCGTATTCGACACTGTAAGCTTGCTGTATTTTTATAGTATGGCCTTGGCGATTCAAGAAGCAGCGGTCATCATTTGTTTCATGACGCCAAAATATCAGGATTATCCATTTTGCCGAAAAGAATTACAATATGCTGGTGATCTACGAAAGCCAATTATTCCATGTCTATTAACATCCGATTGGTTACAAAGTGATTGGCTTGGATTTCTTACAGCCGGTTTAATTTGGCTCGATTTTCGTGATGTATCTGATGATAATATAGAACAAAAATTACAGCGTATGATTGATTTCATTCATATTCTCACGCGAGATGCATTTAAAGAAAACATTGGTTAGTGACGAAACTAAGTTGTGTTGTTTCTCTTGATCGATGTCTTATTGTTTACTAGTTACAATGATGATATCACAAGAACAAAAGATGATTCACATGATCCTCATAGGTCGAGCAGGTTCCGGTAAGTATCATCTGACATTGTACAAGACAATCCCATTGATTGATCTTTCCATATCGTAGGAAAAAGTTCATTGGGCAATACGATTTTAGGTGAGAAACAGTTTGATCAACATGTTTCATCTCATTCTGCTGTCAATGATAAATGTAAAGTCGGATTTCGTGATTTTTCTCGACAACATGCTAAGCTTATTGTTATTGATACACCTGGTTTTTTTAAGAACGAAAAAGATATCGAAGGACCCGTTCGATCAGCTATTAACAATGGAATTTGTGCAGTATTACTAACACTATCCATCGAGTTTGGTCTTACTAATCAAGAAGAAAAAATGATCGACACATTGACGGATATGTATGGTGACAAGATCTTTCGACATATAATTATTGTTTTTACTGGTTTGGATAAAATAGATGAAGATCTTTCAACATTTATTGATCAGCAATGTAGTTCATCACTGAAAAAATTTCTTGAACGATGTGGCAATCGATACATCGCCATTAATAATAATGCCAATGCGATAGATAAAGATGTCTTTGTGTCGAATTTAATAGATATTATCATGCAAACGTCTCATTCGACTAGCCAAGGGTCAGATTTGTCAACGTTGGTAAACAGTTATATGATTGAATAGGATGAGTGTCATAAACATAAAATTTGATCTAGTGAACATATTTGTCTATCAATCTGTTAAGAGGTATGAAATCTTTCAATTTGAAAATAAACTTGATCTAATGAACGTATTACTTTGCAAAAATCGATCGGATTACTTTTCTTTCGATATGAAAATCGAAGATGCTCACTTTTCATTGAGCTTTTCAGGAAATATAATGATTCTCGTTGGAACAAAAGCTTGATCAATATTTCGAATAGATGCTATTTCATTAATAATGATATCTTACAATGGTCATGAGACAGGTCTCTCAAGTATAAGGATCAGAATTTGATCAGAGCTCATCATTGTTAGCAGAAAAGAGCGTGAAATTGAATACCGACATCCACATCCTGTTTTCAGATGATATTTTAAGTTGAAGAAACGAACCCTAAATCAAATATAAGATTCGATTCAAGTGCAAAAATAGTGTTTTTTTTCTACAAATTGGAATTGAAATGCTGTCGCTCAAGAAATTGTTTTTCACAGATTGTGTTTTGAAAAATTCATCGTCAAGGTCCGATTTACAAACCATTGTTCTAAAATCGGCTTTATTCTTTCTATCCATTGGATATTTGCACGAATACGTTCGATTGATGATTGAAATTCGACCTCAACAGTTTCCTAAAATGTAATGAATTACATAGTTTTTTTGTAATAAAAAAAAAGAAGGGTATTCAACAACTTCACTCAATGTTTATCTTATTTGAGATAAGACTATGTTGTATAATTTTCGATTATTTAGACAATATATATATATATAGGTTTGACAAAATGCATGTGAATTTTTTTTGTCATAACAAGAAAGATTTGAAACTGTTCTCGAACACAAAAGAAATATTAAGCTCGTTTGCTTGAATCACAATAAATAAAGATAAATCAAAACATTGATCTCACTTTATCCATTGTCTGTTCCATGAAAACTTCAAGTTCGCTTAGTTGTTGTTCAGTATTGAACTTTCCTGTAACATCTCTAATAAATTGATTGAAATAAAGTGATTGACCAAAATTTTCTAATAAATATTTCCATTGTGAACGTATATATGACCAACATTCATTGATAGCTATTGAATTACGACAAATCAATCGTATTCCAGAAAAAATATCTTGTCGTTGAATTATATTTATTTTGGGATTAAAATAAATTTCGAGTAAATATTGAATTAATTGAATATCTTTTGTACATGCTAGAGCCAATTGTAATCTTGAAATTTCTTGTAAATCATTTGTTATTTGATATTGATGCAATAGAAACTGAAATAAAGTACGATTACCTAAACGCATATTTGTACAATAGACAATTTCTCGATCATTGATTTCAGTGGTATTATTCGATGGATCGAACCATTCTTGAAATAGTTCTTGAGCATGATCAATACAATCATTCAATTCATATTGACAAGCAGTCGATAAAATTAAATCTCGATGAAGTGTATCGATCCATTTATCGGTCATTGATTGATTTTTTCAATCGAAATAAGTATAAATTGGTCGAATAAGATCAATCAAATATGAATGCCATTGTTCATAAAAATCAAAATTTGAATAACTTGTTACAATCATTTGTTCGATATAATTAATACCATCAAGAATACGTTCCCAGACAATATATGCTCGTTCCAAGTGACTATAGTTAAGCATATTGAATACAAGTGATGATGGTAGAATATCTATTCAAATAGATATAAGAATTTATTATTTTTATATAATTAACGACAGTACTCACTTCCTCGAGCTAAATTGAATAGATCATCAATAAGACCTGCTCTTTCGATTGTTGTGAAGTTTTCATGATCATTCTCAAGTTGTTCAATGATCATTTGCCAATTTCGTAGATCGTAATTCGTACGAAAGAAACCTAACAAATTTGAATTTACTAAAAGCCAATCGTTCGATTGAATACTGTTATCTAATGTTATATTGATTTGTGCTTCATTGAACCATATTATATTTGATAAAGATGATAATGATAATTATTTGAATTGAAATAGAATATACCATTGATAATTATAAGGAGATTTTGGTGATTGTGCTTCGAAATCGAACAAAAACTGATGTTGAGTAATTGAAATAGTATTTGTTGAATAGTCACATGTGACTTGTACATAAGGATAACCCATCTGATTAATCCATATGTACTCATTATATCACTAAGACTTGTATTTCTGGATAAGAAAATATTATCTTCAATCATTTGTTCATTTAATATTTGCCAAAGATTAATTTTTCTACTGTTGAATAAAGATGATTTCTGAGATATTTTGAAATGCCTCGATTAAATGTATTTTCACTCATAATATGAAGCATCATGCGAACCAATGAAGAACCTTTTGAATAAATGATCAAGTCGAAAATACTGATTATTTGTTTATCCTGTGTTATTTGCATACTAATTGGATGGGAAAATGAAATGGCATCATCTTGCATAATAAGAAGCCACTGTTGAGCAATGTATTGTTCATATAAGTTCCAATCAGGATGTATTTTATTCGTAGCAATATACGCCATCCATTCAGCAAATGCTTTATTTAGCCAGAAATCTTTCCACCAGCTAGGTGTAACCAGATTACCAAACCATTGATGAGATAACTAAATATAAATGAAAATGATGAAAAAGAAAGAATAGATATTTAAAAAAAACTTGTAACATAGAAAATCTCGTAGATTTTATTTCTAACACAAATTCAGTACTGTTCAATTTTTCTCATTTAATCTACAAAATTCTTTTATAATAAACCTTATTATTTTTACTTCGTGAGTTATGATCAATGCTGCTTGTTGTTGATTGAGCGATGTTGATGTTTGATTGTTATATAGCAGTCGTGTTTCACTATAGAGAATACAGCCAAAATTTTTCATGGCAGCTAAATAAACAAAAGCAATAATTGACAAAAAAAAATGATTGCATATTGTTCGTTTACGAATATCAAAGTTTGGTACTGCAATATGATCACATTTGGACAATGGATAATTGATTTGATATTGTTCTTCAAAATCATGAATTCTTTTCGTTGCGATATCAAGAGCATAATATAAATCATCTTTTCTTTCTGGTTGAGCACATACACTCATAGTAACATTTCTATAAAGGCCTGTGTCATGACGAGTTAAACAATCAAAATCAGCAACAATAAGAGCCAACAAATATGAACTCATTGGTATAGATTTTTTAAAACGAGTCAATATTAATCCACTGCTTAGATTGGTTTGATTTTCTACAGGCATATTACTCCATGCACGATATTGTGGTTCATGTTCTACTGTCAATGAAAATGTTGCTTTAAAAATAGGTTCATCGAAACAAGGCAAAGCTCGTCGTGCTGAAATTGGACCCATTTGTGAAGCAACGAAGTAACGCCGAACTTGATTAGATGATCGTACATAGGAACTAAGAAACAAACCGTCTATATCATTATTCAATTGACCTAAATAATTAAATGTTAACATTATTTGTGTATTCACCGATATGATGCGATTGAAAATAATGGTATAAAGATCACGATCTTCATTGTATATTGTTTCGATTACAGATATCTCACCAATGATTTCAATCGGTTCCTGAATATTTATAGAACGTTTGTGTAAAACAATATGATTTGTAGCATTAGTTATATTGATATGAATGCGTACTTAACCATGGAATACTGAACGATCAAAATTATTCGTAATGTTTAAATATGGTTTTATATACAGATCATAATGAAGTGGAACAGCCAAGGAAGGAAGACGATGATGATTAGTAGTAGATGAATCATTGATCGAATAAATTCAATAATTGAAGCGATATTTACTATGTTCCAAACAATACTTGCATTGATTTTATCTAATGAAAGTTGAAATTGACGATAGACAGTACCTTCAGAAAAAAGAAAAATAAACAATGATCAATTCAAATTTTGAAATAGTCGAAAGAAAATCGATTCTAGGTTTTTACCTTTATCAGTGATTGAATCAGCAAAGATTTTAAAGTCATTTAGTTGTCGAACAGTTTTACCCCATTTTGAAAATAGCTGTGACCAATTGTCCTGCATCCATATCCAAGTAATTTGATTACTATTTCGTGATCGTGCTACATTACTAATTGAACGTGGCATATCTTGTTCACGAATTACAGATTCATTATTCAAATGTTGATTAAGAACCCAAACAATTCGTGATCGATCTTTTGTACAAGCTAGACCATCTAATAGATTCACTGTCTCACTAGGTACTAGTTCATGTTTTAGACGATTCCATAAAAATTCAAATTCTCCGTGAGAACCTTCTCGAACCACCATACAATATACAGTCGAACGTAGACTCATCGGTATTGGATTTCGAGCAGGATTTAAATACCATCGTCGATAGATACTTCGTGCAGCATCGATACATTCGCGATAACCATAGTAACAAACAGTTGAAAGAACTTCGGGTTGGAGTAAAGCTCGACGCCAATCTGTTGTTTGATTGATTAGTGTCCAACCAATATTATTGCATAATGGCAAAATTAAATTAAGAAAATAAAGTTGAACTTGAAGGAAAATTTCATGATCACCAAGTAAATCTTCTTGATGATCCATTGCTGACAATGCTGCTGTCCATGGAACAAAATCACGTTCATTTTTTAAATAACTAATTAATTTATAGGCATCAATGATATTGATTAGAAATGTGCGTGAGAAAGCAAATGTATCATCGATAAGAGCACCTCAATTAATCGGTGGAATGCGTGTAAGATCTGTTTGAAGTTGAGTTAGAATTTGATGAAAATTTTGTGAATCATATTTAACTCGATAGATCCCGTAATAATTTGGATTTGCTATGATCCAATCTGAATCAGATGTTGTTATTGATAAATGTGTTGATGTAGTATTAAGCCAGATGACTGGATTTTCATTTGATAGCTAATAAAACACAAAAATGAAATATTGTACAAAAGTAAACAATGGAATACTTCGAATGATGTTCGATCAAAATATTTGAATGGAATCCACCATATTTTTTGTTGTGCTGTCGATGGGAAAAGATTAAATGGTTGATGAGTAATGATTAATACACTATTGACTCTTTTCTGTTGTATATTTTCGTCGATTCTTTTAAATATTCGATTAACTTCAACCACTGGATAACCTGCTTGACGTGTCCATCCAGCCATAATACGTTCTACATCGATCGTATTGTTGGTAGCTTCAGTCAAATATCGCCAAAGATCCTGTTGTGTTGCTGAATTATAACTGAAAATTTTTAGATAATTTCGAATACCTTGTTGAAATGTTTCATCACCTAAAAAACATGTTCATCATTCGAATGATTGCTGCACCTTTGTCATAAGTTATTCTATCAAACATGAGAAATATATCATCTGGATTTGTTGAGTCAATACTGATTGGTCTCGATGTTGGCATTGAATCAGCTTGCATGAACGAAAAAATCTTTTCAATAACAAATAGTTCATCTTGTTTCCATGATGGTTCGATAAAATCAGATGCTACTGTTTCCATATAATTAGCAAAACCTTCCTTAAGCCATCTATATAATACTGATCGATAGTGACAAAGAACAGAAAGACTATTAAAAATAAATGACTTACAGTTCATCCCACCAAGCAGGTGACACCAAATTACCAAACCATTGATGTACAATTTCATGTGCTACAATTATAGTTACATATTGTTGTTGTGAAGTAGATCCTGTATTTTCATCGAAGAGTGAACCAACTTCAGCATAGATTAATAAACCTACAAACAGAAAATAATAAGCTCTTAATGATTTGTGATATTTATTTGTCTCGTATTTTATATTAATATCTACAAATACTTGCCATAGTTTTCCATGGCACCACCTCCAAAATCAGGTACAGCAAAATGTTCGATTTTTGGCAACGCATTATCTATATCGAAATATTGATTGAAAAAGTTCAGCGTTTTGAAAGCTACTTCATCAGCATAAACTAATTGTGGTAAAATTTGAATACGTCCACATACTCTGGATTTAATATTCTTTGAACTAAGAAGACGATCATGTCGACAGGCAAAATCTGATTTAGGTGCCACAATTAAAGCCAAGAGAAATGTCGACATGCTTAAGGTTGGAGCAAAATAAGAATTGATTCGACCATCAATCAATGTTTTCGACTGTTCCAATTCTCCATTTGTCCATACAGCATATGAAGGATCATGTTTAACAATAATACGAAATATAGCTTTACGAACGGGTTCATCAATACATGGAAGAGCACTTTGAGCATATGTTGGCTCCATTTGAGAAGTTAGAAATGTTCGACTAGTCCCATTAACATCAACATAATCACTTAAATAGAGACCTTCAAGATCACGATCAATTGTAGCCGAATAAATAATATGAACTGTATAAATAGTTTTCGGTTGAAAATTAGACGTGAAATTCATTAGCATGAATTGATTATAGTCATCATAGAACCATGAATGAAATGTAGGCATCGAACTCGATGATGAATTGACAATGGCTATAGTTGAATTGTCTGTATTCAAATCGAGCATATGAAGAATTAATTTATTTGTTGATTCAAGACATGTAAATGTATAGTAAAGATCACCTACAATTAATAATGAAAGAAGACAAATGTTTTTTTCCCTTTCAGCTAAAACGGTTTCTTTTCCCTTCGGTCTTTAGAAAAAAAAACGTGTTCACCTATGAATGTTTCTGCAACTAGATCAGGTTTAATAGTCCATTGATACAATTCTGGTTTTAAATCAGTTGGTATTCGTTCTACAGGCCGAGAAGGAGCTGGTAGAGTTGTTGATTCAGTCGATATTGTTGTTTCATTGTAATCACGAGTAGTTGTTGATATAGAGAAAGATTCATACTGCACAATGGTTTGTGTTTGTGAATGAATACCAAAATAAATAGTCAATGTGGTTAAAACTATAAAAACGGTTATAATTAAGGATAAAGCAATCCAAAATAATTTTTTAGGCATATGACAAGTATTCAACTTGACAATCGTTTCATTTTGATCAAAAGGTTGCATTGATATTATATTAGATATATTAATATAATGGTTAAAACCACTTTTGATTAAGATACACTAAATTTAGTATTCGAATGAGGTAAACAGATGACTGCCGATCCAGTGTCGACGAAAAATATTACAAGTATATTGTTTGCTCTGATCTTTATTCTACAGAGAAAAAATAAAATAAAATTGACGCATAGAATATATATCATTGTTGCTGTCTTATCTTCCTTTTAAATGAAACAAGTCGCCGAGAAAAAACTCATGCTCAGAATGATACAAATCACACCAGTATTTGAATAAAATATGGGTCATTAAAAAAAACATATTTTTGTGCTTATTACTTGTCGATGATTGGTACTCTCTATAGACTCTTCTATGGTGTGACATAGTCACAATAACATACAACGAAAAAGATTTATTCATGCTCAAAACTTTCAACAAAGAACAAAACTACGATCATATTCATTGGACATTTCCTCTGTTGATCTTTACTAATCTCTCAAGGCATTTATATTGTACTGACATTAAGATAACGTTCTATAGTTGCCATATATGCTGGCTTTGTCGAAGACTCAATGCTAGTAAACTATTCTAGACATTCTTGTTTTTAATTATCGACCAAATTCGTTTTGTCACTATCTACAAGGCGAATTTTTTTTAAAAAGAAGTCTAACAAGATCCTCCAAGAATACTTAATAATTGTTTGTTGTTGACCGAAATTTATCTGACATGTATTGTAATCTTCTTTAAAACCTTTTACTTGATAGAGACTATTTCGGTCTGTTTTATCAGCACAAAATGTCATTTGTTTTCTGATAGTTGTAGTTGATCTATTCAAAAGCTACTAATTGTTACGAAACTTCATCAAAAATATTGATAATTTTTAAACGCATTATCCCTGAGCATTCAATCACTTTTAAGTTCGAATTTTCCATTTGAGCAGATGAACGATGGCTGGTCACATCAATTGGCAGATTGTTTGAATGTATTGGCTCATGTAAAAAACTTTTTTTCTTTCATCGAATAATTTCAAAAAGAGTACATGTAGAATGTGAGTATTTCGGATGTCAATCATTGATTGATTATTGTTTTGATACCATGTTTGATGCCCATGGAGTAAAATATTCAAGGAAACGGACTGCGTAACGCGTTTCTGAGATTGCAGCATGCGTTTCGCAGCGTTTTTTCAATATAGAACGCGTTTCACAGCATTCTTACTTCGATAGAATGCGTTTTGCTGCTGTCGTTTTTTGAAACGATCTGAAACTCGTTTTTCCAAGATTGCGTTTCGAAGCGTTTCTGAAGCAAAATAATGTCGAACGCATTTCTGTCGATAGGTAACGCGTTCCAGAGACACAGATTCGGAGAAATGTGAAACGCGTTTCCTTTTCAAACGCATTTTGCATCGTTTTTGTTTGAAATGATGCAAAATATATCCGTTTTGTATACAGGATCTTGCAGGAATTTATCTGCACAAAACGTACGAGTTAAGCAAAGTTAATTCTGGCACTATTTTAGAAATTATACTATATGGGATTTGAATATTTTGTTTCTTGCACTGTTTCTCAACATGAAAATCATGACCCAAACTGTCCAAACGCAAAATTAAAATTGAATTCTTCTAAATGTTTAGGCTGCTAGGCTGTTCTATAAGTCTGATTGGTAGTTAGAGTAATATTGAACATCAAAGTATAAGAAAAATATTTTTTTCTTCCTTGAAAACTCATTTCACTAGGTTTTTATTGAAATAAAACGTGTTTCGTAACGTTCAACCAAGCATTGTTTTAAATATTGAACAATTCGAAAAGATTTAGTAAAGACTGATGCTAGTATAATGTGTACGACAACTTTGTTTGTTTATTTGTGAAGAAAAGAATCTCGAATTATTTATAATTTGAATAATTATTGGTATGAATTCATATTTGGACTACTTGATAGTAACTGATGATACTGTGTGCAATACTATTAAATATGGATTTAGTTCGTACTTTGTTAATGTAAGCGTGACTTATTAATAAAAAGAATATTCGATTTACAAAAGAAGATTCTTTGCATTGAGTGATACTGTTGGATAAAAGGATGACGAATTTACATATACAAAAATCTATCAAATAAAGAAAACAATTCAAAAAATTTATTTTTAGATTTCTTAAAATTTATATCTAAGAGATTCAACTTGTTTAAATATTAAATACAATTTAAATTAATTAAAATCGTTTCAATTGGGTATTTAAATTTAAATTTAAACAAGTTCAAATAAAAAATATACCAAGAGGAGATCAAACTCGTTATTGGGTATAGGCACCAAGGAAATGATAATTTTTAATTTAATGGTTTGGGATACTGAAAATCTAATTTAGTAAGTTTACGGAAGACTGTGAAAGACTATAGAATAAGCACTTATATCATTAGATTATTTTAGTTGAACGGTGTGTACACATGTCTTCTACTCTTATGTTCTCGTGTTCGAATCTATGTGTTGGCATTATCAAAATTGATCTAAGTTATAGCTCTAAAGGTGTATGAAAAATGTAAGCGAGTAAATTAATTGTATCTGCAACTCAAAGTGCATGAAGTACTTGACGGTTTTCATTTTTTTCCATCTAGAACATACGACACCACAGTTAGAGAAACGCTACGAAACGTTTTTAGAAAAAACGATCGTTTCACAGCGTTCGTATTAGCAGATGTGAAATGCGTTAAACCGGTCAGCATTAACGCATTTCGCAACTATGGAAAAATGCGTTTTGAGAACGCGTTTTTTTCGCAGAAATTTACGCCATGGGTGAGTGGACTTAGGGACATGCGAATATTAAATTGAATAATCGGTCGCTTTAGAATTGATACCAATAGTTACATGAGAAACTCAATTGATAGATACTTGATAGACCTGATAACGATACCATTTGTAATGATGGGTACTCAAAACAATGACAAACAATAAAGTTGATAATGTTGGTTATTGTATCGAGATTTTCTATTTGCAGGAAACAATAGGATAGACATTCCATGAAATATGTTAAGAAGTAGATCAATATTTAAACTATTTAATAGATTTGTTAACTTTTAAGATAACGATATACTGTAAATCAATTGATTTGAATGATCTTCGAAACGAATGGAACAAACGACAATAGAAATGTTAAACACTGTCTCATTTCATTAATATCAACATTCATTTGAAGAGTGTGGGTGTGGGTGTAAGTGCGGATCTTTAGTTCACGTGCATCCACATTCACACGCAGATTTGATATTCGAAAATCCTCTTACGAGATAGAACAAAGGAGTTTTATTGGTTGAACTAAGTATAATATGGAATCAATTTGAGTCGACAAAGATCGATTTCTAGTGTGAAGCAATAAGTAGCGAAGAGATTTGACCATTACTAATATTTCTGAGTTCACCATTGCTTACAAAATATCAAGTACGCTGGATTTCGTTATACAAAATTATAAGAACTGAAATGAGAGAGATAAATGTGAGATTTTTTTGCTAAAACATTTTCAAAGTGTTCAACAAGCAGATGAGTATCGTGAAACACACACGACAATAAACTATATTAATAAGAAGGAAATCAACTGATCTTCTACTGTTTTAATGATAATCAAAAAACAATTGAACAAGAAAAGCTTTCAGCTATCTGTGCATTTTTGCAATATAGTATAATATGTGCAATGGTAATCGACATGATATTTGCTCTTTTGTCTTATTACTACATGAATCGATTTACTTCTTCATAAGCTAGAAAACAGGCAGCATTGATCGGTATCGCTTTTAAGATTCCTCTAAGAAAGCCACGATAAAATATACGTAAGTTATTTTCATATTGATACATTTGTTTGACACAATCGATATATGATGTATATTTACGACGTTCACGTCTCAAATCATCTGATTGAATTTCAGATCGAATTCTATCCAACGGATAACATATTGACCAAGCACAAAAGCCACCCATTGCTCCACTAAACAAAATACCTGTACGTAAATGTTTATCTTTGTACGCAGGGCCAAAGAAGCGAAAATGTGTTTGATAAAGATGATTTTTCACATATTCATAACCGCCAAAATAAAACATCGACGTAGGTATAGAACAAATGAGATTTGCGAAGAATCCTTTATAAAAACCACGTAATCCACCATTAGCTTTATAAATATATTTACAACAATCTTTTACATGAAAATCGAATACATGTGTATGACGACGATACAAATTTCCTTCAATCTGTCCATTAACAAGACCAATAGGTGTTTCAATAAACGATGAACCGAAACCAGTGAGAGCACCAACTAGAAAACATTTTTCAATTGTACGCTCACTATCATTCTGACGGTTATTGAGATGTCGACTTATTTGTCCATACAATAAGTATTGTGTTGACATAACAAATGCTGGACTGATCAACGGTAAACTTAAATTACTTCGATAGAATCCATCAATCAAACCTTGCTTTTTGTAAATAGATCGAATAAATTGGAAAAAATTTTGATTAAATCCATGTAAATTGCTTTCTAGATAGATAAATAATGTTTCCAATGGGTGTGAAATGGCAGCTGCTGTTACACCACACACTCCTCCCGCAATTACATCTTTCATTATGGGACTCGTCAGTAAGGACATATTTTACGTTTGTAATTTATTAATGTGTCTCAAGATGCAAAATTTGGATGCACTATAATGTATGATTTATCAAGCATGACCACCATGTGATAGTTGTTGTTTTTTTTTAATGTGCACGAAAAGAACGAATCAATACAGATACCATAGCATAAGCAAGTACTCAATATCGGATGATAATGATAGGGTGTGAGTATAGTTAAAGAGAATTCTCTCACTATGTTCCACAACAAATGAATATGAGCAAGAAAAGACTAATTTTCATCAAATCCCTTTGGTGAACAAATTGATTGTCAAGAAGAAAAACATAACCCATAGATAGATAGATAGAAACGATCGGTAATAGTCACAAATGCAATCGAAAGTTACGTATTTATTTATTATTTTTATATTCTAAATTTATTGTGTGCAGAAATTGAATCAAATCAAGATCTTCTAATCGGATATTCTTTGTCCTTGTTTAATCCATTTTTCATTAAAACGAACATATTTAATTGTTTGACGATCATAAGTAAAAACAAGATGAATATCATTATCGTCCCTATCAGACCAAAAACTTTGTAATACTGCTGGATAAGAATATTCGCCAACAGATGTACTATTGTCATCATCATGAATTTGAATATTTCGTTGATAAGGCCATGTTAGTCCATTATCGTATGAAAGGGCTACTGTTAGCGGAGATCTTGGTAAATCAGTTCCATTGTGATTATTAAAAACCATAATAACAGCACCTGTTTTTAATGTATTTGCATGAATTCCAGCATTATTATTTGGCAAAATTGTACGTTTTGGTACTGTCCAAGTAAAACCATCATCATTACTATCAGAATAATAAATAGATTCAGCATTTTCATCACGAAAAAATGATCGTAATATTCTTGAATTAGACAAACGAATAATAGAAGATTGAATGAGATCTTCACTATTTGTCATATTAATACGTGTCCATGTTGAAGTATCGGATATTGATCGAAGTATAAATGAATAATCATATGTTGGCGAAGAATTATAACAAGGATAGATAAGACCTTGATTATCTAATGTTGGAATCATACGATTTCGATCAAATGCACCTGGTAATGAATAAAATGAACTGCCTTTAGACCATGTAGCTCCTAGAAAATAGAATAAATAGATTCATCTGTTTTTAGAACAACTTTATTACCTTTATCTTGACTTTGCAAATGCCATAGTTCAGATGAACTTTCTGGACCCTTACCTAATTGTGAAGAATGATATAGATGTAGAATTTGTGTACGATTATTCCAAAAGAGAACAGGATTTTGATTTGAATAATTGGTACGTTGACTGATAATGACACCAGGTGTAAATTGTTCTGATCCAATAGCTAATAGTGATAAAGCAATTGAACAATTAGGCATTCCTTCACCACCCGAAAACCACGCGACAGCCAACGTGCCACTTGGTGTCAGTTGTTCAATGAATGCTGCATGATTACCTTCTTTTGGTGGTGTTAGAAAAGCATATGAACTACCATCACCTGCTGGACGAATGATCCCATCAAACGGAATCGGATTGGTGCAAGTAGTCAAACCAACTGTTAGAATGAACAATACAATGTGCATTATTGTCGCTTTTTCTGCTCTTTCTCAAATTATCTTGCTTATAATAATAATGGCATGAGAAAACAAGTAGCAGTATTCGTGAGGCACAGCTGTGAAAATTCTTATATCTATTACTGTAAAGATAAAAAACAAGGGTATTAACTAACAGATGGTTGGTTTTTCACATCAATCCACCATGAATATCAAAGTTAAACTATGCGATGGCCTTCGGAATAAGAACAACTTTTTATCTGATTATCTTTTGTTCTATTATAAGCAAGGTTTTGTTTAAAGCTTTCAAGAAAGAAAAATCCACGGCAATTCAATTTTCATTGCAGAAACTTATTTAGTATATGAACAAGCATGAAAGTGAAGTTAGGCTAGTAGTACAAGTCTGCATCTATGAATATTGTATTCATTCGGTTAGTATCATCCAAAAAAAATTAATGGTAGCTAAAATATGAAAAATCCTAAATTCGAAGTCAAGTTCATTGGACTGACATTTTCGCTTGGTTGCACGGATTCAAAGAGAGCTCAGCTCCAGCTAACTAAAGCTCTCGACTCAAAGCTCAAAATATCAAGGCCTGATCTGATCCTTATAGACGATATAAAATTAGTTGTAATAGATAGTTAACGTGGCAATATGACATTCGTGACCTTGTAAAGATCTTGCATTTTGTTCTGTGGACACATGCTACAACATAAAATGAATATAAACTTTTTTCGTTCTATCTTGAAAATACACATCAAAGATTCTATTGAGAGTATGGTGTGATGTGAACAAATATCAACATCCATAACACCTCTTTCAACAGCTAAGTACAAGTGGCCATATTTTTCGTCTTTGAGCATCTCTCCAAAAAAGAATTTGTCGTTCCTCTGATTGCACAAAGTCAAATATCACGGCTTCTAGTTGTGTTTTTGTGAAGTTTATGCAACATTAAAAGCAAGTGAATGGTAAAAGCAACATGGCACTGCCTGCGATAAAACTTACAGTGTAAGAAAGATTACCATGAATCGATCATTAATGCAGAAAGATTTTCAATATGAAACAGGCTAGATTAGTCAGTTTGCATCAATCATGTCAGTCTTAAGTCTCAACTTTCGATACCTAACAAAATAAGTAAAAATCGTCGTGATCTCAAATTCGACCATATCAAAAGATTTCATCTGGTCTCTGGAATGATCGATTGTCCATATTGCCAGAGGTTCTCTTTAAATCTAATAGTACAACGTGAGCGGTGCCAACAACTCATTTTCGACAGCAATGCTAAGTGGTTTTTAAGAAAGAAAGATCATGAAAATATTGCTGCTGCAGTGGAGAAGGGCTAAACGTTGATGTGGGTTGAAGTCTTATATTCATCCTTACCTGACTTATCCCAAAGTGAAACCAACAACCATACTTAGAACTACAATTGATCCTAGCTTCACTCACGATCATTCTTTTGTCATAAAAATTACAGAGATAGAATGCAAATACTGAAATGATCAAATATATTGAAATGAGGCGCTCTCCGAAATAGAAATATATTAAAAAAAAAAAGAAGTGGTTTTTCTAATGTAGATTTCAACATCGTTTAAAAAGTACAAACTTTTCTAGCTCAGCCTGATCTTCAGTCACCTTGATTCCTTCCAGTTTCTTGAAGATGAATTGCTCATTCAACTTCCTTTTTGCTGATTCTTCATCGCCCGTGAATATTAGACAACTTTGATTGAAACCGAGTTTGCGCACTTCATCTATTAGTCGAGCGCCTGCTATACTAGAAAAATTCTCATTCGTTCGGTTCATATCAGTGACAATACGAAATGTATCGCTTCCTTTGAGCCGTTGACCGAATTCCGAACGAAAAAATGCAAGTGCTGATTCTGTGTTCGATTTCGGAATGAAATGAATATTGACATGAGTTCCTACACTCTAAAAAATTTCTGTATCCTAGGAAACCCAAAGGGGTTCGGAAACCTACTCGAAAACCCTTTTCCGTTTCCGAGTGGGTTTCCGAAGTTTGGAAGCGTTTCTGAAAATACCCTTTGGGTTTCCGAACGTTCGGAAACTCAAGGGTTTCCGACAATACCCAACTGAATACTCTAAAAGTATTCTAGAATATCTTTTTCTTGCTTTCGGAAACCCAATAGGTTTCTCGAAAATCGGAAAGGTATTGTCGAAAACCCATATTAGTAGTAAAGCTGGATTGATACCCGAAAGGGTATGCGAAAATACCTTTTCATTTCCTAAATGGTTTCCGAAAATACCCAATGTGAAAAAGGGTATCATAGGATACCGAGATGGGTTTGCAAAAATACCCAATCTGAAAAAGGGTATCATAGAATACCGAGTTGGGTTGGCGAAAATACCCAATTTAAAAATAGAATCATTGGAAATCAAAATAGGTTTGCGAATTTTGTGTTAACCCTTAAAAGAGTTCCTAAGGTTTTCAACTTTTCTGATACCTTCATCAATTTTCTGATTGACATCTCAAAAACTTCGCAAAAGGATAGATGTGGATTTCAACCTTATTTTTTTCATATTCTTTCTCATGCTCAGCTTTGAACATTTTTATGAAACAGCAAAACACCGATCTAATTAATAATTGCGTATTGAATTATTCAAAATTGTTCCTGTGTAAACAGTTCCATGAAATGTGAAGCCAGATCATGCTTCATAAATAGTGGAATGTTATTTGTGCGTTTTACTGTTGATCTTATTCTTCGGAATATAAAAGAGAATACAATATTAACAAATCGGGAACAAAATAAATAAATTAGACAATTACCATATGTCTTTTTTCTTCCTTTTTTGGTTGAGTTTCGCTAAAGTAAGAATTATATTGTAGCTATCGTGGATGTCAAAAATTACAGGAGGAATGAATTGCAGAAATTTCTATTCTTAAGTGAAAATTACAGTTGGTTTATTTCTAAAGATTATAGGCTTTTAAAACAAACAGAAAACTGCAACTTAAGTCCACATGTTAACAAATTAATGTCATTTATAAGACATATGAACAATATGTTTTCATATAACTTTCACAAGAACATAAATCATAGATCTGATACTTTTGTCTTGTCTTCAGTCACTTTCTAGCTTTGTTCTATAATCGAATAAAAAGAAGGGTTCAATGTGTAAAGTACAAATCAATGCAATTTCTCTTATGTTTAATTATGATTCGCTTTAACTTCATTAGGTTGTGTCGTACTAATTTT